CACCTGCCTGCCTCCCGGGCTGCTGGCCCCTGGGAGCCGGATGGTACTCTGTGCCCTGAGTCAGTTCCTGCGGTTACAGGCTGGCAGGCCCGGGGGCGAAGTATGCCAGCCGGCCCAGCAGCTTACTGATGGCCAGTCTGTGCTGGGGACCTGCATCCTGACTGGCTCAGCCACACTGGGTGAAGAATTGACCCATGCAAGGGGAAGATCGGCCTTAGCTCTTCCCGAGTCTCCATGAGCCTTTGGGAGACCTTTGCTTTCCCCCTTCCTGGGGTGCCTAGAACCCATTCTCTGCAGTTCAGAGGTCAGTGACTACCCAGTTGGAAGAGTGAGATGGACCAAAGTGGAGACACTGTCCTTTCTACCACACAGGGACTGAGTCTTCTCTGGAGTAGGTGTTCCAGCTTCCCTGCTGCTCCCTGCCCGTGCCTACATGTGCCTGTGGGTGTACACAAGGAGGGGTGATGCTGTGTGTGATGAGTGTGTGCATGTCCATGTGTATATAGGTGCCTGAGTGCAAAAACAAGAGTATATTTGTGTGTATGTGTATGTGGTCTTCCAGATGGTGTTAACGGTAGAGAACCTGCCTGGCAATGCAGGGGACATTTAGAGACACAAGTTTGATCCCTGGACCGGGAAGATCTGGAGGAGGGCATGGCAACCCACTCCAGTATTATTGCCTGGAGAATCCCATGGACAGAGGAGCCTGACGGGCTACAGTCCATAGGGTTGCGAAGAGTCAGACACAACTGAAGTGACTTAGCACGCACATACGTGTGTGCCTGTGTGATTGTGTGTGAGTGACTTCTTGTCCACATCATGATACCACAAGCAGGCGTGTGTACATACTCAGCTGTTTTCTGACAGGTTCACCCCAGCAAGCAGCCACTATCTGTTTGGTAGGTACTCTTGCCATACATGTTTTTATACTTGGAACATCATCCCTGTTACCTGCTTATGTGTTTCCTTGCGGTGTGTGAGTTTTGCATGTGTGTCTCAGGTTTTGGGTCTAGGTATGTGTGCGTGGGTATTGGAGCTCTTGTGTGTGTGTGTTTGTGTGTGTGAGGTCTTGAGGATGCTTGTGTCTGTGCGTGCTTGTGTGGTTTTGTGTGAGTGTGTGTGTGTGTGCATGCCTCTCTGGCTGGGGGTGACTCAGGCCAGAAATATTCATCATCACTGCCGCAACTCAAGGGGGAAATCCTCTTGAGTCTGAGATGGAAAAGGCCAAGGACTGCGGGGCTCCATGCTTCTCAGGCTCCCAGCGGCATTCCCAGGCCCTGTGGCCCAGGGGATGGAGTTGGGGTGCAGGGGAAGCATGTGCTGGTCCTAAGGGGATGAGGGCAGAGTCAGATTTCCCTTTCGGAAGTCCCCTCTGGGGCTGCTGTTGTGGGGGGGCGATGCTGGGGCCTGGGAAACCAGTGAGGAGGAGAGACTGGCCCAGGCCAGACAGTGGATGGGAGGAGGGGGCAGAAGGGAGGGACATCTAGGATCAGCATGGACAGGAATCAGTGTCTGGAGGGGTGTGAGGGCCAGCAAGGCGTGGAGGAGCCCCCGCCTCCCCCTGTCTGTGTCTGACCAGAGTGATGGGGGGTTGGGACGGGGTCATGTAGGAGCAAAGTCGCCTGGGCAGCTTGCTGGTGGCCAGGCTCTGTGTGGGACCTGCGTCCTGCCTGCCTCAAACCCTGGGTGAGGACAGTAATGTGGGTGGGGCGGGGAGCAGATGGGGGAGAGAGCAGATCTGGCGACCTGGTCAGTGCAAGGGACCTATGGCCGTGCAGGAGAGGGCGTCTAGAGGGCTGAGGGGCCTGTGTGGGAAGAGCTATGCCCAGTTCACTGACTACATTCTTCACCCTGACTTTACTTCCAACCAGAGCCCTTCTTGTTTGGTTGGTTTTTAAATTGTGGAACCCAAATCTGAGTTGGTCATGGAAGCTGCTGACTTTTAAGGCCTGATTTGCACGCAGCCTGTGGGGAACACAAACAGCACCCACTGAGGTTGTCTCCTAGGTTATTTTTTTTTCCATTTATTTTTATTAGTTGGAAGCTAATTACTTTACAATATTTTAGTGGTTTTTGTCATACATTGACCTGAATCAGCCATGGATTTACATGTGTTCCCCTCCTAGGTTATTTTTTATTCTTGTTTTTAAAAATCTATTTGGCTGTACTGGTTTTAGTTGCAGCATGTGGGGTCTAGTTCCCTGACCAGGAATCGAACCCAGGAGTGTGGAGTCTCAGCCACTGGACCACCAGGGAAGACCCTCTTCCAGCTTTAGAAGCACAAGCTCTTGGCACCGTGGAGGCACCTGGTGGGGCGTGGGGCTGGGGAAATCACGGCCCAGCGGGTGGTGATCTCCTTGGAGCAGCCACGTGTGGCAGGGTGGGGCCGAGCTGTGTACTGTCAGGGGGTCACACCTCTCTGAAGGAGTGACCCTCCCTGAGCCCAGGCGGCGCCTCAGGAGGCTCTGTAATTATGGGATGAGGAGGTGGCCTCTCCCTAGCCGGGCCCCACTTTGCCCCTCAGAGCCGCTGTGTGGAGACAAGGGTTTGGTGGCTTGGGGTGGGTTTCCAGGTGTGTCTGAGGAAACCTGGCCTCCTCCCGCGGTTTGTTCAGCCTGAAAGGCTCCATTGTGGCTGCAGCCTCCCTCGGATCGGCTCTATTTTGGGACAGGATCCACCCTGCTCCAGCTGGAGGAAGGAAAAGGTGTATTTCAGCGTGTCCTGTGGGTGTGGGGGGGCGGGCAGGGGGCAGAACGCAGCCCCAGCAGAGAAGGCAGCTCGGAGTGCTGGTGCAGGGGGTGTGGAGGGTAGGACCCCGGCCTCTGAGCTGGAGCGGGGCGGGGGGGGGGGGGGGAGTGGCCTGGCCGTCCCTGGAGGTGGGAGTCAAGGGGAGGATGGGTGTGAGCGGTCCCCGCTTTCATGTGGCCCCAGGAGGCCGGCTTGGCAGACCCTGCCGAGCTGGAATGCGGGTCTGCGGCCTGCCTGGGCCCCACCTAAGGCTCGCCCACCGGCCACTTCCTGATTCCTAGCCCTGTGGGTGCCCAGCCCAGGCCCAGAGGAGGCCCGCCCTGCCCTCAAGAGTTCCCCAGTTTGTGGAGGGCCAAGGCCTGGTGAGACTGGGAGAAGACCCCTGCTGCGCCCCCTCCCCAGTGGGTCCTGCCCTCTCTCTGCAGCCCTGGCCACACTCTTGACCGCCCAGCCTGGCAGGTGCCTTCTGGCCTCCGCCTCTACTCACCGGGTTCTCTGCCTGGTGTGGCCTTGGGGCTCTTCTAGACCCATCCCGATCCTGCCCGTCCTTCAGGGCTCTGCTCAGGGCCACCTCCATCTGGAAGCCCTCCCCATCCTGCGCTTTCCTCTGACTCATCTTGTGCCAGCCTCGCCCTGTCCTGCGGGTTCTGGGGCCTCTCCGAGTCTCCCCCCTGGCCCCCTGACAGCTTCCTATCTCTCATCTTGTCACTCGGGTGAGGGGCTCACCAAAAAGTGGTATGTGACCTGGGCCTGATCCTTCTCATCTGTGAAGTGGGAGTCATGGTGCGTGTCTTAGGAGGTGGCTGAGAGTTGGGTGGGTGACAGAAGGGGACAGGCCCGGCGTGTCGTCGGTGGGCATGCAGTAAGCCTTCAGTTCCTCTGTCCTGGGTTCTTGTAGGCCTTTGGGTGCCAGAGCCTGGCCTGCCCTGGGCAGAGCCCCATGACTCTAGGAATGACTAATTCCACTCCAGCAATAAGCTCTCAGGAGCTCTGAGAAATAAGACTTTCCCCTCCTCCTTCCTGCCTCATTAAACTCTTCTTGAGTGAGTGGAATGAAGATTGTCCTAATCCTTTGGCACGAGGTGGGGGGTTCAGGGAGCTGGGAGAGACAGGCCCACAGCGGCCTCCAGTCACCCGCTGGATAGGCAAACAGGGCGGTGGGGGTGGGGGGCACATCAGGTTTTCTGAGCCCCATAGGTGCCCAGGGCGGGGGTGGGCACCGGACAGGGGCTGGAAGCCTCATGTTTCAGTCTGGCTTTGTCCTCGGCCAGCTGATGACCTCAGACAAGCCCTGATCCGGGCACAGTTTACTGTCTCAGCCTTGCTCACCTCCCTGTGATGCTCCAGGGAACTGGGAAGGGGAAGGCCTGGGAGGGGCTATGGATGGGGTGCCTGGTTTGGGTGGTCTGGCTGGCATGCAGTAGGTGCCTCCTTAGTGTACACTGGCCTTAGGGGAACAAAGTGGGAGGGGTGGGCAAGGCCAGAGCAGTCTCTGGACCTTTCTGTTTCCCCACCTTTAAAAGTGGCCTGGGAGGGACTTTCCTGGTGGTCCAGTGGCCAAGACTCTGTGTTCCCAATGCAGGGGTCTGGGTTTGATCCTTGGTCAGGGAACTAGACCCCACATGCTGCAACTAAGAGTTTGCATGCCACAACTAAAGATCCACGTGCTGCAGCTAAGACCCAGTGTAGTCAAATAAAAATAAAAATAAAAAAAATATATAAATATATAAAGTGGCCTGGGAGTCCTGGCTACTACCCTGGGTGACCTCAAGGACGTGCTCTTCCCAGGCCTGGGCCCTGACTTCTCTCTGGGTCATGGCTGGCCATCTGCCCAGATGGAAATGTCTACCCACTCTGGGAGCTTCTCTGGTGGCTCAGTGATAAAGAATCCACCTGTCAATGCAGGAGTTGCAGGTTTGATCCCTGGGTCAGGAATCCTTCCCCTGCAGAAGGGAATGGCAACCCACTCCAGTATTCTTGCCTGGAAAATCCTATGAACAGAGGAGCCTGGTGGGCTACAGTCCGTGGGGTTGCAGGAGTCTGACATGTCTTAGCGACTAAACCATTCCTACCACCCACTCTGGAGGCTGCTGCCACTGGGATAACAGTTGCCGACCTCACCCACCCCAGGAAGTCTCAATGGGGCTTCCTGTGTGCAGACTAGTCTCCCTCTGCACAGGGGGGAAGACACCATGGGGAGGGGCTGGTGATTGAAATCCAGGGAGCCTCATCCTGACCCGCTATGTCCACAGGTGTTCCTGGCCCTTGGGGAGCTTCTCCTGTCCTGCAACTGGGCTGTGGTTGCCGACATTCTGCTGGTAGGTGTGGGGGTCAGGGCAGAGGGCTGGGCCTGGGGTGTTGAACGGGGGCAGCTGGCATCTGTCCTGCTCAGGGCCGGACTTCTGCTGTTGAGTGGCCCAGAGGTCAGATGGGGCTTCAGAGACCATGGGGTCAGGGACCGAGGTCAGCAAGCAGTTACCGTGGACCGGGGGCCTCCCTGATGCTCTCAAACATATCCTCTGACCATCACTCCTGTGTTGTGGGTAAGCACATGGAGGCTCAGAGAGGCCAGGGGCCTGGACCAAGGTCACACAGCCCGTAGAGGCACTGAGCCAGGGCTGGGACCCAGGCTTTTTGACTCCAGGCCTCTTTCTTTGCCCCTGTTTCTTGACTGCCATCTTTCTCAGCAAGTGGTCTCCTTGGCCTCTACACTGGGTATGCAGTCAGGGATGCTGGACTTCGGGGGCACCCAGCCCAGGTGTGTCCAGGCCACCCCAGCTCCTGTATCATGGACTGCAAGGCTCGGGCTCCAGTGAGTCCTGATGCTGTCCTGACCACATCAGGATGTGGTGATGCTGGGTCCAGAGTCTAGCACGTCCCTCCCTGAGCCTCACACTCCGTCCAGCCTCCCGGCCTCCTTCTAGGAGACCGCAGGGAAGCTGATAAACACTGAAGGGCTGTGCCCTTGTGGATTACACAGGGTCCCCACCCTAGCGACACCCCGAAGCCCTCGTCCTGCCTCCTGGCAGCCCAGCATGGCCCAGCAGTGGGCCCAAGGGAAGCAGAGCCGTCCTGAGGGTGGTCCAGTGCAGACGCACGAACCTGGGTGTCAGCCCTGCTTCTGCCACTTCCCAGCTCTGCGTGCCCTAGGCAAGTCACTTTGTGTTGCTGAGCCTCAGTTTCCCTGTATGGAAAATGGGGATGAAAAGACCTCCTGGATTATGGTGAGGGTGAAACAAGATGATCCCTGTGAAGCTTGTGCCCTTTGCCCAGGGCAGGGAATGCTGGCTGGGGTTCTGGTAATAAATCAGCTGTTCCTACTTTCTCATCTTCCATCTCCTAAATAAATCCTGCGTCCTGGAATCTGAGTTTGAAAGGGCTGTGGGGAAGTGTAGTCATGTAATTAGCCAACAAAACCTGCTTGAATACTGCTGTGGACTGGAGGCTCACTCTCTGTCTAGATGCTCTGGCCCTTCCTTTGACCCAGGCTAGCGGGTGTCAACGACGCTATCCTGTCTGTGACTCCCGGGTGAGTGTATCAGCTGCAAGATACACTGCCAGCTCTTCTCTTTTCCTCCCTCCAGACAGGAGACTTGGTCTCCAGCCCAGACTCAGCCACAGACCTGCTGAACGGCCTTGGGCCTCAGTTTCCTTGCCTATAAAAAGGGGCAATCATAACTGGCCTGGCGGGATGAGCAAGATGGCCTGAGGGAAAGCCCTCGGTGTATGGGATTGCGCTGGCAAAGCTTGCCCCGGGTATGGCTGCCCACTTGTAGGCACAGGGCGATGACCTGCCCCCACCCCCAACACAGCTTGTCCGCTGAAACCTGCCCCCGCCCACAGCTTCTTCCGCCTCCCCCTCAGCCCTGTTCCTGCTCCACATGACAGCCCCACAGATATGTGAAGACTGCGCCCACCCGTGGTCTGCGTTGCAGGAATGATTAACCTGGCAGATCCGGCCTCTTTGTAGCACCACGTGTGGGTTGGGGTCAGGGGTCGGGGAGGGAGTGGCGGGGAGAGGAGAGGTGAGGGGGCCAGTCAACCATAGTCTGACCCATCTGGCAGTGCTGGGGAGCTGGCGGGTACCACCCAGGGGGCCAGACTGGACCCAGCCCGCCTGGTGCTCCTTCTGCTCCTCCCCTGGCTTAGAGGCGTCCAGCCCCCAAAGCTCAGTGGGGCCTGTCAACCCAGGGAGGCTGCTAGCCCCCCTTCTCCTGCCTCCCCACCTTCCCAAAGCCTCATGGGAGGGACAGCTTTGTGACACTTTGTTGGCCGGAGCTGGACCACATCTTGGAGCTCAGTCTCCAGGCAGAGAGTGGGGGAGGGGCTCCAGAAGGGAGGGGTCTCAAGCCAAATGCCGGTGAGGGGACCGCTGCGGGACCTGAGCTGTGGAGTGGAGGGGCAGACCGGGAGCAGGGGGGGAAGGGTGAGAGGTGACGAGGCCGGAGTGCAGACCAGCGAGTAGACGGTGCCTGTGAGAAGCTGCCCAGGGGAGAGGGGAAGAGAGGAAGGTCCCTGGAGTTGGGGGTCATAGGTGTTGAGTGCTGCTTTTCCAGAGATGAGGCTGGAGGGGAGATGGGTGGAGAGGGGCTGGCAGGGGTTAGAGTGGGGCTGGAGCAGGAAGTGTGGGGACGCTGGTGTGGCATGAAGTACAGGGAGGTCCTTGCTGGCTGCCCTTTCTTCTGAGGCCCGGAAGGTGAGGGGTCAGCGGAGCCCAGGAGCCAGGATTCTGGAATGGTCCACCTGCTTCCACTCCCAGCTCTGCCCCTCTCTCTGGCTGGCCTTGGTGTGTGCAAATGTGCTGTAGGTGTTTAACAGAAAGGCAGTACGTACCAGTTACACCCAGGCTACAAGGGCTAAGAGAGCTAAGCCTGTATCCCTGAGGGGTCGATGTGGGCTCCATGGGCCCCACGGCAGTCCTGCATCAGGGACACGGCTCTCTTTGATCTGCTTATCCGCAGGGAGAAGAATCCAGATTCTCCAGAGACTTCAGGGACTCTTCAGTGGTTCTTAAATTCATTGAGCATAAGAATCAGGTTTAGAGGAGCTTATTACAAATTTCATTTCCTGGGTCAGGAAGATTCCCTGGAGAAGGAAGTGGCTACCCACTCCAGTAGTCTTGCCTGAAGGATTCCATGGATAGAGGAGGCTGGTGGGCTTATAGTCCATGGGGTCACAAAGAGTTGATATGACTGAGTGACTAACATTTTCACTTCACTTCCATTATAAATTCACTTTCCTGGCCCTCTGTCCTCAGAGTCTGATTCAGTCATGTCTGTGTTGGGGCCCAGGGATCTGCATTGCTCTTGAATTGTCCTGCGTGATCCTGCTGGAGCTGCTCCTCAGAATGCACTGGAGGATGCTATTCTAGTGCAGCCAGCTTTCCAGCTCATGAACCCTCTGCAAAATTCTGACCAGTGCTGTCCACCCCCTTGTTTACATACCCCTCTGATGGGCAGCTCACTCCTCGCATCCTGGGAAACCCCTGCCTCCTGGTGGCTCGGTTAATAAAAAGGATCTTGGCTTATCACAGCCAAGACCCACTTCAGACTCTTGTCTGCGACCTCCCCACTAGTTCGGCTGGGACTCAGATGGCCTTGTTCCCTGCAAGACTGGAGACTGTGTATCCCCAAATGAGCTCACCATCTCCCTCAACCCACTGATGGGGTCTCCAGCTCCCTTCCCACCCTCCTGTCTCTCTGGGCCCCCCTCTAGTTTACCCACCCCCAGGTGTGGGGAGTCGGGCAGAAGGGGGACTGGCTCCCTCTCCCAGGTCTGTATTTTGGGTTGCTGGAATCCTGCCACTGGGATCACCTCCCACCTCTTCAGCAGATCCCCCTTCCCTGGGGGATCATCACCCTTCAGTTCTCCCTCCGTCCATGCATCTCCATGCTTCCCTGCTCTGCCTTCTGCCCCTAGGTAGCCGTCTGCTCACTTGTCTGTCTCACCCTCCCAGGGGTGTCTGGGTGTGAGGGCTGAGTGGGGCGCGTGAGGCAGGCTGCCAGGAAGTTTGCACCTGGTGACTGCCACTCCAACTTTGTGCGGGCCCTTGATTGGCGCTGGTTATGCCCCGGGCTATAAAGGGAACAGCTCTTCTAAGAAGGGCGAGTCAAAAACAGAGGTGTTTTTGTCTCCGAATAGAGTGAGCCTGGAGTTTTGGGAACCCAAAAGCCTCTAAGCTTCTAAAATTACCTGCCAGGCTCTCCAGCTGCTGGTGAGGCCCAGCCTTGGCCCCTGGCTACATGGAGACCCTGGGGACCCAGAACAGGTAGGGGGAGACCTACCTCCCTGCCACTGGCAGCAGGAGCCAGTCTGGGTCCTGCAGGTTGGAGTTCCTGGGAGCAGAGGAAGGGAACTTTCTCTCTCCAAGCAGCCCTGGCCCCTGCATGGACGTTTTTGGATATTCAGAGCCCATGTTCTAGGACTGGGGTCCCCAACTTCTGGGGTATAATGCCTGATGATCTGAGGTGGAGCTGATGTAATAAAATAGTAATAAAGTGCACAGCGAATATAATGTGCTTGAATCATCCCGAAACCATCCCCCAACCCATTCATGGAAAAATTGTCTTCCATGAAACAGGTCCCTGGTGCCAAAAAGGTAGGGGCCTGCTGTCTCTAGGAGGCCCTGCCCTCTGCCCAGAACCACCAGTGAGTAATCACATAATTATGGGGTGAGGAGGAAGCATTTGGGGAAGGTGCAAAGCTGTGGTCAGTTCCTCCTCAGGCCTGTTGGCAGGTCCTGGTGATGGGCAGGAGGCCCAGCTTCTCTCACCACCTGGACAGACTGGCTCAGTGCCAGTGACTCGAGGACCAGCCGGTCACTCTCAAGAGTGACTCCTGCCGCTTTGTCCTGCCCACCCACAAGCCCCTTTCCAGTCCTGCGGCTCCGGCCTCCATACCTTGGCTCACACTGTCCCTTGTCTGGAGTTCCCTTCTCTGCCCTCCTTGCAATTCCCCATTTGCAGGGCTTGAGGTGAGCTTGTCCTCTTGGTTCTTCTCACTGTTTTCCAAACGTTCTGTAGCAAACGTGTCAGTGTTTCTGGAAAGGCTCCTTTTTGCTTGTAATAGCAGGATGGTCAAGCATCAGACCCTGGAGACGAAGGCCTGGGATCAAATCTTAGCCCCACTGTTTCCTGGCTGGGTGACCCTGGGCAAGTTACTCACCCTCTCTGTGGAGGGTTTCATCCTCTGTAATAGTGGATAGGAATCATGTCTCCCTCATGGGTTGCTTGAGTGGATATATTAAAAAATACATATATGAGATATGTAAAATGTATACAGGAAGCACTTAATGAATGTTAGTAATTATTATAATAATTATTATTATATTTTTTATTATTCTCTGATGGGCTCAGATTATGGCCAACTAGGCCTTGGGAATAGGCGTTGGTGTGGGAAGCTCCCCCGTGGATCTCCTGTTGGGACCGTGTGACCCCGTGGCTTCTAGTTGAACCTCCTGCCTCCCTCCCTGCCTCCCTCCTATCCTCTTGCTGCAGCCCTGGGTTCTAGCAGTTTCTCTTGGGGTCAGTCTCCAAGATGATTCTACTTGACTTGTTTAGTTGGCAAGCTATCAGCTAGTCCCCTCCGTGCCTGGTGGCTTGCTGAACCCCCAGGGACCCCAAAAGAAATTAGGCAGGAGCTTTGCTGCCAGACCATGTAAGGGTAAGGGGAGGAGGGCAGTGAACCCTTCCAGCTGAGGGGGATGTGCCTTCAGTTAGGGGTGCACACAGGGGCTGTGGGGCTGTGGGAGCTCAAGGCAGGCACCTGAACTCTGGGAAGGCTTCAAGAGTTCTTGAAGGTCAGTCCTGAAGGATGAATGGGGATGCTGCAGTTGGACCAGAGAGGGGAAGGCTTGCCAAGCAGGAGGCCCAGCAGGTTCAATTTATTTCAGCCTAATGTCCTCAGGTACTGGATGAGGAATGATCATGAAAGTAACCCTTTATGTAGGTACCATTATTATCCCCATATAAGGATGAGGAGGCTAAGGCACAGGAAGGCAAAGTGACTTGCCCAGAGTCAGAGAGCTAGTGAGTGGGGAGTATGGGATTGGGACCAAACAGTTTGACTCCAGAATTCATATATTTAACCTCCCCACCCCCTTCCAGGTGGGCCTTTTCAGCAAGGCTGCCTTTGGTCTCTGCCCAGACGGGCTTCCTGAGAGAGAGACTGAGCCCTCCAACCCTTCCCACCTGGGTGCCCACGTATGTAGGCACCTGGCCTTGCACCCTGTCTTCACTCCACAGCCCACACTGCCTTCCGTGCCCCTGAGCTGGGACATGCCCACCCCCTCCCTGTTGTCACAGCCATGCCTGGGCCCCCTGGTTCAAGAGCAAACTCTTACGAGAGGTGGCCCTCATTAGGGGCCTGGCAGTTCCATCCTGGGGGACTGGGGAGCCTTCCTGAGACTCTCAGAGGCTAATATCTCAGTGGTGGGGCTTCAGGCATTAGGGTCATGAACTCCCTGCCACCCTACTCTCTTGGCCATCCTGTCGCCCCACCAGGCAGGTCCTTGGCAGCGGGGGGACAGGAGAGGGTCTGAGGGGCCACCTACTCCCAGATCTCGCTCAGGGACCTCCCCTGGTTTTCCTGTGTTTTGCAGTCGGTGGTGGTGCCCAGGTGCCGGGGGACAGCTGAGGCGCTTCAGATCACAGTGGGCCACATCCTGGGAGATGCCGGCAGCCCCTACCTCACGGGACTTGTAAGGCCGGGTGGGTGGTGGGGCTCCAGGGAAGGGCTGCACTTGGAGGCCTAGTGGCTTCCTGGTGGGCCCGGCAGACCCAGCCTCTCTCCTCTGCAGATCTCCAGTGCCCTGCGGGCGGGGCGCCCCGACACTTACCTGCAGCGCTTCCTCAGCCTTCAGCAGAGCTTCCTGTGCTGCGCCTTCGTCATTGCCCTGGGCGGCGGCTGCTTCCTGCTGACTGCGCTGTACCTGGAGAGAGACCAGGCCCAGGTCCAGCAGTCTGGCACAGGTACCCGGCTCCTTTGCACCGATGCCGGGCTCAGGGCTGACCCTACAGGAGCAAAGAGCACTGGCCACCCCCTGAATTTATTAATTTATCCATTCATTCATTTGTTGATTCATCCACACGTAATTATTACGCCCCTGCTATGTGCCAGGCAAGATTGCAGATCCTGGGGAGTAAACATAAAGTCCAAGCCCACGTGAAGAGAAACAAACAAGAAACAAACAAAAGCAATAAATGACAGTATGTTTGAGGTCATAAGTGCTATGAGAGGCATAAGGCAGGAAAGTGGGGAGAGAGGAACAGGTGGGGGCAGGTTGCAGTTTTTGAAAGGGTGGTCAGAGAGGTCCTCACTGCACAGGTGACCTTGGAGCAAAGATTTGGAGGAGGGACCGAGTTGTGCAGCTGTCTGGGGACCAGTGCTCCTGGTGGAGGGAAGAGCTTGTGCAAAGGCCCTGGGGTAGGAATGTACCTGCTTGTGTTTGAGGACCTGCAAGAAGGCCGCTGTGGCTGAAGCAGGAGCAAGGGGGGCCAGCGGCAGAGACGAGGGTGACAGAGGAACAGAGCATGGGGGGACTGAAGGCTTTTGTAGGGACTGAGGCCTTAACACTGAGTGAGATGGGAGCTGCTGTGGGGTTTCCAGGGCACAGGCCCCAAGGTGTTTGATTGATAACAGTTTGACTCCAGAATTCATATATTTAACCTCCCCACCCCCTTCCAGGTGGGCCTTTTCAGCAAGGCTGCCTTTGGTCTCTGCCCAGACGGGCTTCCTGAGAGAGAGACTGAGCCCTCCAACCCTTCCCACCTGGGTGCCCACGTATGTAGGCACCTGGCCTTGCACCCTGTCTTCACTCCACAGCCCACACTGCCTTCCGTGCCCCTGAGCTGGGACATGCCCACCCCCTCCCTGTTGTCACAGCCATGCCTGGGCCCCCTGGTTCAAGAGCAAACTCTTACGAGAGGTGGCCCTCATTAGGGGCCTGGCAGTTCCATCCTGGGGGACTGGGGAGCCTTCCTGAGACTCTCAGAGGCTAATATCTCAGTGGTGGGACTTCAGGCATTAGGGTCATGAACTCCCTGCCACCCTACTCTCTTGGCCATCCTGTCGCCCCACCAGGCAGGTCCTTGGCAGCGGGGGGACAGGAGAGGGTCTGAGGGGCCACCTACTCCCAGATCTCGCTCAGGGACCTCCCCTGGTTTTCCTGTGTTTTGCAGTCGGTGGTGGTGCCCAGGTGCCGGGGGACAGCTGAGGCGCTTCAGATCACAGTGGGCCACATCCTGGGAGATGCCGGCAGCCCCTACCTCACGGGACTTGTAAGGCCGGGTGGGTGGTGGGGCTCCAGGGAAGGGCTGCACTTGGAGGCCTAGTGGCTTCCTGGTGGGCCCGGCAGACCCAGCCTCTCTCCTCTGCAGATCTCCAGTGCCCTGCGGGCGGGGCGCCCCGACACTTACCTGCAGCGCTTCCTCAGCCTTCAGCAGAGCTTCCTGTGCTGCGCCTTCGTCATTGCCCTGGGCGGCGGCTGCTTCCTGCTGACTGCGCTGTACCTGGAGAGAGACCAGGCCCAGGTCCAGCAGTCTGGCACAGGTACCCGGCTCCTTTGCACCGATGCCGGGCTCAGGGCTGACCCTACAGGAGCAAAGAGCACTGGCCACCCCCTGAATTTATTAATTTATCCATTCATTCATTTGTTGATTCATCCACACGTAATTATTACGCCCCTGCTATGTGCCAGGCAAGATTGCAGATCCTGGGGAGTAAACATAAAGTCCAAGCCCACGTGAAGAGAAACAAACAAGAAACAAACAAAAGCAATAAATGACAGTATGTTTGAGGTCATAAGTGCTATGAGAGGCATAAGGCAGGAAAGTGGGGAGAGAGGAACAGGTGGGGGCAGGTTGCAGTTTTTGAAAGGGTGGTCAGAGAGGTCCTCACTGCACAGGTGACCTTGGAGCAAAGATTTGGAGGAGGGACCGAGTTGTGCAGCTGTCTGGGGACCAGTGCTCCTGGTGGAGGGAAGAGCTTGTGCAAAGGCCCTGGGGTAGGAATGTACCTGCTTGTGTTTGAGGACCTGCAAGAAGGCCGCTGTGGCTGAAGCAGGAGCAAGGGGGGCCAGCGGCAGAGACGAGGGTGACAGAGGAACAGAGCATGGGGGGACTGAAGGCTTTTGTAGGGACTGAGGCCTTAACACTGAGTGAGATGGGAGCTGCTGTGGGGTTTCCAGGGCACAGGCCCCAAGGTGTTTGATTGATATCATAAAAGCACCATTGTGGTGCTGCTGTATTGAGAGCAGACTGTGGTGGGGGTGGTCAGTGTTGAAGCAGGGAGGCCAGAGGGAGGTTCTGTAGCTATCAGAGGAGAGCAGAGGGGCTGGGACCGTGGTGGTGGCATTGAACGTGGGGAGAACAGGTCAGATCTGGAATTTATTTTGATAACGGAAGCTGGAGGATTTCATGGCAGACTGTGCCCAAGCCTGGTCCCCAAGCACCTCTGCCTCCTTTGGGGCTGGCTGAGTGATTTCCGCCCACAGGGATCCTTGAGAGCGAGAGCCAACGCCTGATTTCTGGCAGGGGTGCCTCCCCAGAGGGCCCCTGAGGCCCTGCCTGGCAGCGAGGAGGTCCCACCTGCCCTGTCCATACCTGTCTGGGTGACCTCCACCGGATCAGTGCTTCTGCCCACCTTTGACTGTGGCTCCAGGACCCTGGCCGAGCTGCACCTGCTGTTTCTTTGCTCCCAGCTGAAGAGCTGGCAGCGCCTGTGGCTGGGCTGGGAATTGAGCTGTCAGCAGCCCCCGCGGGAGTCCTGAACCTATGCCTGACCCAGCATGAGGCCACTCACTCCAGTCTGGAGTCCTCAGCCTGGCTGCCAGCAGGCCCGATTAAAGTGTGGCTGGTACAAAGCCCATGGATATAGGCCTTTAGACAATCATGTTATTTATAGCCTCAAGGTGTCTCTGCTGGGATCAGGAGCCGGAGAGGAGGAGGTGGGCAGTCTGGGCGGAGGATGCACGGCTGCTCAGCGTGGTTCTCTAGGCATGCCCACCCTGGACCACCTGCTCTGACCCTGCTTCCCCACTCTGCAGGGTCGGGAGGGCATGGGACACCGTTCTGTGTGCATTCACCCTTTGAACTCAAGGTGGGGGCTGAATCAGTATTCTGGAAGATAGGTCTCTACTCGGGTGCTGGTGTCGGGGTGTGGCCACAAGATCCATGGAAATCCTCTGCCTGCACTGACCCAACTGCCTCAGACCCACGCTGGGGGGCTCGCATGGCTGTGCGTGAGTGCCTTGCTCTGCATCCCTCCCCCTCCCCCATGGGGAGGGCTGGCTCGGTGGGACTCACTGGGTTCAGAGCAGCTGGGCGCAGCAGGCCGTGCAGGAGATCAACAGCTTCCAGGCGGGTAGCAGTGAGGAGGCATGTTCTTTCTGCCATAAGCATAAGCGTCTCACCCTCTCCCCTGGTGCCCAGCCAGGCAATCACTGTTCACTTTCTGATCACAGCCGCTGGGCCTGCCTCTCAGCAGCTGCGGGCAGAGCAGTGACCCAGACTCACGCTCCCCTCCTGACCCTTGCTTGCTTCGTCCCTACCCTCTATGGGTGTCCTCCCTGCCCCTTAGGTTGGAGGGGACAAGTTCCAGGAACTGGACTCTCCAGCTCAACCCACACCTGCCACCCCCAACCTCCCCAAGTCTCAGCCCTCCCTCTGGAGCAGCCATCATAGGCTGACTGCCTCCCCCACCCCCCACCCCTCACCATCTGATGCTTGGAGCTCGTGAAACAGGCTAGCTCTGAGGTTACAAGAAAAATGATTCCTGAGGGTCCTTGTTTAGGGTTCTGCTCCCAAGTACAGCATGGGCGTGGGAGGGAGAGGGGCAGTCCCACAGCCCCAAGCAATCCTCTGATCCCAGCTGGGTGTCCTGCAATTTAGTTCAACTCTGACACTGTCTACCCAGTGAGTGAGTGAAAGTTGCTCAGTTGTGTCTGACTCTTTGCGACCCCATGGACTATGCAGTCCATGGAATTCTCCAGGCAAGGATACTGGCGTGGGTAGCCATTCCCTTCTCCAGGGTATCTTCCTGACCCAGAGATATACCTCATGATTTCTCATGGACTGGGTCCACAGAAGCCAGCTCTAGGCTCTGAATCTTCTCCCTGCAGTCCTGGGAGGACCCCTGTGAGACTCAGCTCCCAGGAAATGGGCAAGGGCTTCCTGAGGGTCATCGGCTGCCACCTCCCCAGCTTGAGTCTAGGGGCTGGGGAGAAAGATCAGTAATCTCATTTATGCCAGTTCCAGAAACACGTTGGTACCAATGAGTGCCCATCTAGGTTGTGACTCCAACCCTGCTCTTGGACCTCACAGCCCCAGAAGGAACAGGAAAACACTTAGCTGGGCCAAGTGAGGACCACTTACAGGCAGAAGAAGGGGTTCCATCCTTCAGAAGTTGTGAGAAGTTGACCTCGGAGCTGGTAAATAGCCAGAGAAGGTATGGGGAAGGGAATCCCTGATGGAGGGAATAGGCAGAGGCACAGGGCCTGAGGCAGAAGGTATGTGGTGAGTCATGGAGAGGTGTGGTGTGGTCAGAAAGGAGGGGGTGTGTGTGTTTTGAAGTGGGGGAGAGGGGGCAGGAGAGACTGGCTGGGACCAGAGGGCTCAGGTGCCAGTTGAGGAGCTGGGGTTTGGAGCCTGTAATCAGGGTAGTCCCTTCTGACTCAAGCGCTTTCTGGAGTTTAGGTTGCCAGGCAGGGCAGGGTGGTGCTTTCTGGGACTGAGCTAGGCAGAATGCCCCGCCAGTTTATAGGATGTTATCATCCTAAGTGTTTTGAGGCAGGGCAGGAGCGCCGGGGTGGCGGACTCTGGGAGGGAGAGAGAGTATCTGTTCTGTAAGCAACCCAAGCCTAGCTGTATTCAGCTCCCAGCCCCTGCCTCGGTGGGGTTGGTCACTCAGACCTCGCTGTGCTGAGGTCCTAGCTGTAGATCTTTGAGAGCCTGGCCACTCAGGCTCGGCAGGAGGAATGGCCAGTAGAACACACCTTTCTGGCCAAAAGGGCACTTGCTGGGTGACCCTGGTCTCTGATACTCTGGACTCACTCAGTGGGAATGTCAATGGGGGACCTCGCTGCTGAGCAGGATGAGGCCCTCAGACCTGACCTGCTCACATCTTGTGTTAATTGTGCTTCCTGGACACACATCGCATTCCAGCTCCCCAGGTGTCATTCCAGGTATGCAGTTGTGCCTGTCAGTGTGCATGCGCCCGTATCTGCTCATTTCTGTGTCGGAGCATGGAGCAGGTGTTGATAGGGTCTGGATGATAAATCTCTTCTTCCACCCTGACCTCAGGCTTGGAGGGTTGAGCACACACATTGAGATGATCACCCCAATCCTGGCTTGTTCCCCTGCAACACCAGACATCAGTCAGTTTCATTCTCTGAAGACTCTTATCTCTCCTCCATGCCTAGATGAGCCTGTGAGCTTGTTGGTTTAATACAGTCTCTAACAGAGCTGTCAGGAGGCAGTGAGAGGCTACTGGAGCTAAGCTTTATCCCGTACAGGGAGGTATGGGACTACATCAATTAAAGTTGTAGGGTGGTATGCAACAGAAACAGACTGATAACTTAAGCAAGAAGGGGATTTGTTGAAGCACATCAGGAGCTCACAGCATCTATGTGGAGATTCAGGAGCCAGGGCTCTTGGGCCATCTTACTGGGGGACCTTCACCAGAGCTCCAGACAATTTTTTCCTATCCTTTTTCCACCCTACTCAAGATTTAAGGCCCTGAATGGGAGAGTCCAGTTGGATCATTAGCCCATGCCTTGATTTATATATAGCTCCATTAAGACCAGGAAACCAGGATGCACTTAAGAGCATCAAAATAAAACAGCAATGAAAGAAAAAAGAGACCAAAAAATATATATACAAATACCAATGACTGTGTCCATTACAGTGATCTTGGGCAGGCCACTGGCCCTCAGATGCAGCCTCTCATGGGAGAGGGAAGAGGCCAGACTCAGTGTCCTTCAAGGGATTCTTCATTTCTGAGAGTCCATGATCAAAGGAGATGGAAGCTTCTATAATTCAGAAAGTGTTAAAAATGTTCAAATAACAGAACAGGAACTTCTGTGTTAGTGGGGACTCAGAGCCATCTGTTCTGAGCAGGGGAGAGGCAGAGACAAAGCGTTCTGAGCTGGGGGATGGAGGGGCTCCAAGTCCCCCGCTTGGCAACAGCAGGAGCAGAGAGGAGCTGTCCTCTCCCTACCCTTGGGTGGTGACCTGTGGAGAAGGTAGTCAAAGGGTGGATGTAAATGGCACATGGAAGCTAATGGAGGGTGGAGTCAAAGAGGGAGAAAATGCCTTTCTCAGAGGGGCCAGGAGAGGAATCTGGCTGGTTTCTGAATCAAGAAGAACAAGAGATACATGATGCAAATCAGCACGCACTTCCTGAGTCGCACCTGCTAAATGTCATTTACTCATTCACTCAACAAACATTCTCTGAGCCACCTCCTCTTCCCTGGACTATGGAGATGAATCAGATAGTGTTTGAACCCTCAAGGTTCACGATCTGTTGGGCTGGTGGAGGGGAGCAGGGGACTGATGTACAAACATAATCAGCACAGTGAGTTTGGTGCGATGGAGGGGTATACGGGGTACTCAAGTAGCCTAGAGGAAATGACAATTTCAATAAGTAGGTCAGGGAGGGCTTCCTGGAGGAAGTCATCTGTGCTAGGTTTCTGAAGGACAAGTGGGAGGAGTGAGCTAGGCAGAACCATACTAAAAAGCCAGGGGAGGGGGTTGCCTGGGTGGAGCTCTCCGTGGTCCTGAACCATCGTTGGGTCACCAGGACAAGACTTTTGTGTTGAGGGTAGGGGGCAACTAGAGAGGATTGCTCCAAATTCCTGCCACTCTTCTGGGCTCCAGGAAGTATCATAACTGTGAGTGAGTCTAAGGAGCTCCATTTTCAGTATGGATGAGTGTAATTTTGAGAGATGGGCAGTAGGATCTGAGGCTGGAGATTGGCATGGGTCATGAAGGGTTACTGGAGATCATGTTAAGGAACTTTAATATTTAAAAAAAGAAATTTATTGAAGTATAGTTGATTTACACTGTCATGTTAATTTCTGCTGTACAGAAAAGTGATTCAGTTATACAAACATATATATATATATATATATATTCTTTTTCATGTTCTTTTCCATTACAGTTTAGCATAAGATATACAGTAGGACCTTGTTGTGTACCCATTCTATATATGATAGTTTGCATCTGCTAATCCCAAACTCCCACTCCATCCCTCTCTCACCCCCTCACCTCCTTGGCAACCACAAGTCTGTTCTCTATATCTGTGCATCTGTTTCTGTTTCATAGATAGGAACTTAGATATTTTTAGTCTTATAGTAGTGGAGAGCCATGGAAAGGTTTTATGCAGGGTAACGATAGGGTTGTATGTGTGACTTAGAAAATTATGGCAAGAAATATGAAGAAAAGACTGGAGGGGAATGTTGGAACAGGTGTTGTTGAGCTTTAAAAGGGTCCAAGTGAGACATGATAGGTTAGAGCTAAGTCCGTGAACAATGAAGACATTTGAAGATATTAAGAAAAAAGTGGATGGGCCCTAGAAGTGGGAGTTGAAGGAGGAGTCCCAAATGGCTTCTAACTTTCCTGCTCGGTAACAATGTGGATGCTGCTGCTATTTGTCAGAGATAAATGATACTGGGTGGGAGCAGGTTGAGGGGAAAGATGATGAGTTCAGTCTTGGATGTACTGAGTTTAAGGTGCTGGGGGTATCTCGGGAGGAATGTGCAGGAAACTGCATATAGGCCTACTGTTTGGAGATGAGGTCACATCTAAAGATGGAGGGTGGGATGTCTTAGGGATGTGGATAATTGTTGAAAGCCCAAGCATGAGTGAGAGGCTGCTGAGGGAGGGTGTGCACATGAGCAAGGAGGAGACTGA